ATACAAATTGACGAGAAATCGAGCATCCTTAATAACGAGATCAGAAAAAGTATCACAAAAAAAAAAAACAATGATGAGCAGCAATGCATAGAAAATTAGGAATATGCAGATTTGCGAGGATCATCGGGGCAATAAGCAGAATTACAGAAGGTCACCGGCTACTTGCTGCTGGCATTTGGGCTGCATCCGAATTTTTCTGACTGAAGGACAGGACCCCCCTCCCCGTACCCCGTCCTGCTGACTTTTAGACAGAAATTTATGAATCTGCGCGACTTTATCCTCACTCTCCTAAAGGAACCTCAGAGGCAGAATCTTGGCCATTGGGCGCCTCGACTTTGGCCTATTCCTTCAAGGGGCAAAATATGACTGTTCCAGGCATTCCAAAAACATATCTGTTTCATGCAGAAACTCGGACTAATCCGAGTAACAAGACACTGCGGTAAACACTATTGTGCGGAACCTTCTTTTGCTCTTCGAAATACATTTTAATCCCCTCTCTCTCTTTTTCTGTCCCGCCCCCTCCCCCGCCCTCCCTCTGTTAACTGAGAGAAAGCTACCTCCTTTCTAAACATACATTAAATCTCCTGCATCATTGAACCTTTTACAGCTGCGCTTCTCTGTACTAAAAAATACCAACAAAAATTACCAGGAACACCAAGATCTCCAGACAATCAGTATGGGTATTTCATATCGCTGTTGCTGTCAGGATGAGATCTTTTAAGAACCAGAAATCTTAAGATAATTTCTCGCTCCTCACTCTTTAAAAACTGTAGAAATGCACAAAAAATCGTCGTAAAAATGCAAGAATAAATTTAAAAAAATACAAGAATGTAAGAAAATGAAAAAATTCAAAGGCTGAAATAAAAATTTTTCATAAAAAATTGAATTCTCCGAAAAAAAGTGAAAGGCAAATTCGGAAACACACGTAGTTGCTTTTTTCACCATGCACATCAAACAAGCAGGAAAATTCAATAAATGATAAAATAAGAAACAGTGATAACAGCATAATGATAACCGGAACTGGAAACATCCACAAAGGCCAAAATATAGACTATTGTTTCTCATTCCTAACATGAGATCAAGATATCCCACTTTACTTTGTCCAGTTGCAATTCAAAATGTAATTCTCCAGCTGTGCAGCAGCAAATTTTCCAGTTGCTTTGACCAATGCTGCTTCAGCTAGTGGTCAGTCTGCGGCTGGCTTTTCTGATATCCGTTTGTTTTTTTT